TTATATTTGTTAACATATTAAATAAATCACAAAATATATATAGATTGCACTTATTTATCAAACAAATGTGAATATAAATGTGATTTGTTACACATCAAGTTTTCCAATCATTTCAAAATATATTCAAGTCAGTTTAATCCCCAGGTTTTTTCATCAATTTAAGTTTTAAGATATACTTTTTTATTTAACTTTTTTTTTTTTTACCAGGAACATATTCTCCTTGAGATAAAAGATCTATTTGGCATAAAAGTTTCACACAGAGAACTAAAGACAGACAATAAAACTGAAATTACATCAATCAACAAATCAGAAGCGTTAAGCAGAGAACCATGTGCATACAGTGGTTGAAATGTTCCTTTATCCTGGTTTTAAAATCTTCCAAGCCAACTAAATGCTCTACTTTAACGGTGACTCAGCTCAGACCAAGATGATGGAGCAAACACAGTAAAAGCCCTTTCACCAAAGGCTACACCTGCTGCTGACAGCTTTAGGATTCAGCTGTTGGGTCTTCTTAAAGTGATAAAATGATAAAGTGACCAATGACCTATGACATTTTTATTTCCCTATGCATGTGGATTGAAGTTGACATTTTGTTTTGAGCAAAAGTATGAGAACGGAAAGAAGAGACCTGTTGAGCTGACACACTTCATTATGTTTGGGGAAACAATTGGGCAGCTGGGAAGGGGAGATATGGAGCAGCTTCCGAGAGGTTAAATGAGCAGAAACCTGTGTGTCTACTGATAGTACTTCTATTGCTGCTTCAGCTGTGGCAGCTGCTTTTGTGCGTCTCTGTGCCCCGCTGCAGCACTTGACCATTATGTTCAGTTTCATCCCAAAGACTTTGTTGTCCCTGAGTTTCAGTCTCTGTTTCTCTCCGTCTATATTTCTTCTTTTTACATTTATCATTTGCCGTCTCTCTCTCTCCCTAACGCTCTCTGCCAACCCCCCTTGGCTTCAGTTTTAAGTTATGTGAAGTTATAAGTCACTCAGAGTTTTCCCTGGTGATTATACGTGGGTGTCTTGAAGTGTTCAAAATGAAATAACTTGAGTAGTGTTGACATCAACCACATATCAACATGTGATCTGCAGAGGATTCCTAAGGGATGAACAAAGATAGACCTTGTGCACAATCATTTTCTACTTAATCAGATTCTGTAGATTTACGATTTCTCCATGTATATCCACATGTCTCTTTAATTAGACACAAGGTCATAAAATTCAAATTCAGTTCTTTGTATATCACTCACTTGTTTTGTGTTTTTCATTATCTCCTGCAGCTGTGGATCAGAAGCTGTGGGCTACCTATTAATATTAATTGAGGGTAATTTTTCTATCCAGCTGTTCTTTAATATCAGCTGAGCTACAAAAAAAAAAGGTAAGTCAAACCGTTTGCCGTCCTAATTAGTAAAAAGTAATTCAAAAGAGAAAGAAGGTAAATAATGATTTTGATTGAGGTGGTCAGAGATAGAGACACACAAACAGTTAAGTTTTCAGCAATAATGACTGAAAATCAAATACATGGTAGTTAACATGTCCTGTTGTGTATTGGAACAGTCATCATTAATTCATGACAACATTGCCCTTTAACAAGGACATACTGAACATCATATTTGAAAATACCTGAACACGGACCTAACTATATGTGAAATCAATTCTGACATCGCAGAAGCAGTGAGGCATCCAAATGTGTTCATCCATCAGAATGTATGTAACCCAGCGGATTCTCACCATCCCATCTGAGACCTCCTGCACTAAATGTAACCATCGCTGTGCGCTGACTGTTTTATTTCCACCTCTATCAGAGCACTGATGAAAAGATGAGCAGCAACCCGACTCCCTGATGCAATATGTAGCTGAGACCATTTGTTTCTGGCGATCCACCGCAGCCAGGGAGCAGCACGAGAGGCACGCTGCTGATGCTTGGAGTAAACAAGCAGAAACTGCCGACAGTGTTAATCACACTTTCACTGTGTCCATGCTCTGGGCTTTGGAAGCAGAGAGGCTGGTGGAAGTGTTCATGCTACTTTTTCTCTTTCTATCGCTCTGATGAGTTTCTCCACACCATTAGTGCTCTCTGCTGACTTGTTCTATCCAGGTCCACTACTGTACTAATACAGCCGAGACCTGCGAAGCACCATCTGCCATAAGCACAACTAACTACAGTAAATGTGGACACATCAGCACATTAACGGGGCTGCACCATGTGGGCCGTGTCGCAGTCATTGCTGTGCAAAATGATTTTGCAGGAGAGGGGAGAGAAAAAAAATTGCTCAGAGATATTCTACCTCAAAGGACCACTGAAGGACACAAGGTATGAGAATGAAACATGGGGCCGGATTTAATATGCCTTTTATTGCGATCTTTCAGATACACTCTCTACCCACAGGCATGACTGGTACGGATCAAAACTTGCACACTGGTCTGAAAGAAGAAGAGGACGTTTTCTTGTCATCTGACGCACACCTGTCCTGCAGCATCAAGATCAGAATAAGCTTTAGAAGCCATGTGTATATGCTCATACAAGGAATGTACTCCAGTTTAGCATCTCTCTCCAAACAGAAATAGGCTTAGACTTACAAAAAGGAAAAAGTTTGACATATCGGTTCAGCATCAGCAGCAAACTAATGTTTATGAGCAATAGTGAAATGGAGAGATTAAATGTAAGCAACGACTCTTTTCTTCAAGGATGTTCATTTATTGGAGGATTGATCAAAAAGTATGAAGATGGGATTTTTGTAGATAACTTTACTGAACTTGAAAAGGTTTATGCAAGCTGCTAGGAGTGACGTTTCCTTCTCTAAAGAGCAGGACCATGTTATCTCACGGACAGCAGAGGCCAGATTTCTTCTTTTACAAATTACTTCTGAGTGTGGAGGAGCCTCCCTGAGTTGGTTCAGAATCTAGCAATATCTCAGTAAAAATATCTGCCTATAAATGCACACAAGAGGCAATATTCAGTGATCTATGGTGACTGGATTATTAATGATACTTTCAAAAAATGTGTACAAGGTCCTTTTTACTCCAAAAATCCCCAGCAGCATCGTCCTTATCAATACCGTGCGATCATCACTTGCCGCCTGCTCTGGAGTGAGCATCTGTTGGATAGTCTCTCTGAATGGATTAGCTTCCTCTCTCACAGCAGGATGCCAATGGTTGCAACGGTGTCCAACTTGATTGTGAGCCCATTTTTTCTTTTGATCCATCCTCATAAAAAAGAAGCGGTTGATGTCTTTTAAATAATAGAAGAAATTAATACTGGATTTCTTTTAAAAGCAACTGTTTCCTCAAAATAATTTTTCAGCATCATTTTAGGACTTTAAAGGTTTTTATAAAAAAAAGACTAAAATGAATATTTATGTCTCTTTATGACTTACTGAAACAAAAGACACCATTAGCCAGAAGAATGATTATTACTATACCGTCATTTTTTAATGCCTGAAACCACTGGTAGGTGTGTAGGTGTCAGAAGGTTTTAGCCATGCACTGCTGGAACAGCCTTTTTTTTAAACATTTTCCACAGCAAAGATTGATACATGTTATAAAAGAAAGCATTATAAGATTTTTGTCAAAGCAAATGAGACACTCCACTTTGTCCACAGGGATCGCTAAAATCGACACAAACCTAAACTTCCTCACAAGACCTTGAAGAGTATTTTTTGATATTTGTATTGTATAGGACTTGTTTAAAAGCAACAACAAATGTCAATCAATTTTATTTGGTTATCACTTCTAAAAACAAGAGGGCCCATCAAGAAATATTACTGAATCACTTCAGATAAACTACTTACACAAAAATGTAAACAAGCTTCCCGACTGCCGTCAGTAATGTTATAATAGCTGCCTGACTAATTTAGAAAATGAAAAAGGAAAAAAGATGAAACATATTGTTAACCTGAGTCTATAGAGCCATGATTCATTTCTGAAGCTCAGTTTCCTTAAATTGTGTGACAGCAAAAACATTTACAGTATCCTTGAGAGTCACCACACCTGTAAAGCCTATTTTCAGCAGCAGTAAGCAGCGGTTGCCAGCAGACAGGCTCTGATAAACATACTGTATGCCTCCTGCCAAGAAACAAACTGCAGACAAAGTTTGATTGTGAAGAAAGTCAAACAATGCATGGAGAAAGAATTGCTAGATATCTTGGGGTTTTTTTCAGCAGTACTCACAAGCAACTAATCTCTTTGTTAATTTGTACGTGTCAGCAAAATACGTATATAATAAAAATCTGGTAGACAGACATGTTAAACATGAAAAATTACCTGTAACCAATGACAACCAAACTGTTGCAGCTGTTAGTAGTAGCTGCAATATAAGGAAAAGGCAAACCCTGTGTGATCCAAACACTTCAGTGTGTGTGATGACTCCAGACACTGCACAGCAGATATAAAGGTCACACAAGTTCCAGGTAATAACTGGATGTCTGTACCCATCCAATTGATGAGAAAAACAAACACACCAAGAAAATGTCCAAGATGGACACAATTTTGACTTCCTACTCATAAAGCAAGTGTTATGGCACTGACCCAGGGTTCAGTAAACGTCCAAGTATCAACCTTTTATGAGAGCATTTCTCAAGCTGTCTGAGACAGTAAACAACCATACAGCATGCAGTGTCTTGTGGCAGATCTGGACATGGTCTGTTTCAGCATTACAGATGTACTCTCTGCAGCCCTTGGCCTGGGAGTCAGCGACAGTGTACACAACAGTTCTCAGTGCCACCCTGAGGGGAAACGGACGGATCTGGACTGCAGGAGCACCCTCAGGTTGAAGTGTGAACAAAAATCTGTCCATTCATTTCACCACCACATATATACAACATTTAATTTCTCAAAAGCAAACTTCAGCGATGATTTCTCAACAGAGGTCATATTATATAGATGTTATAATAAACTATATTAGGGCTGACCTTGTAATACAAATATGCTCTGCTGACCCTCTTCTTGGCAGAGCCTCAGCTGGCTCTGCAGAGGATGTTTAACTATTAACACGCCTGACTCACCACTTTGAAGTCTTCAGCACTGCACTCCATGCCTCGGTAGTAGCAGGACAGCAGCATGTCCTTGATGTCATGGCCCGTACGGTCGTAGAATTCGCGCATGTTGAAGGGGCGGGGCTTGTAGCTGTCAAAGTCGGCCCTCTCCTTTAGGATCTGCATGACATTTTCCTCCACCATGTGTGGGTCTCGGATCTCGTATCTGGATAAAAAAAAGTTCTGGACTTAGTTACTCTGGACATGAGGACACATTTTCTCAACTAAACTTGTCAGTTAATCAATTTATTTAAGGATAAAACATAACAGCACTTAGTGCAACTTTAAGTATAAATGGGTATAATTGTGCAATTGTTTTCTTTTAAAATGGTGTACTCAAACATAATTAGCAAAAAAAGGATAATGAATATCATTCTCAGCCTTTTGTTTTTCATGACTCATTTTAGAAACAAACAATCAAACCATTAAGATTAAAAAAATAGAATTACTTAAAGGGTTTTCCTTAATCCATAGAGCAAGACACAACTTCAGCTGTACCTCAGTCCTATTTTAAAATGTGCATTTAACAGAGTCTGGCATGCAGACAAGCTTTTTTTTGGCAGGACAATAGGGATTAACTTGTAAGACATTAATAATGATCCAGCCTTAAGAGCATATTCGCCCTCTAAATGAACTAGAGGTACTAATGCTAATGCCAACTCTCGAAAAACCTGCAGTTAGCCAGGTCTAACAATTGTATTCGTGTGATAGATCCAACTGGCTCCCAAGCTGTGGCACCCGCAGGTATTATCATGGGTGATGCAGAGTGGGAAGAAATGCTTATTATCTAAAGAATGCGACTATTTCTCTCCACACAATCATGGTAATTGTTCTGCCAAATAATTAGGATTAAGTGTTTTTGGCAGAGCGTTTTAATGTTGTAAGCATAACAATGTGTATGGTGCAGGTTGAAAATCCTACAAAATACAACACAGACTATCTAGCGTTTGAAATCCAATCCACTTCACAAAGCATCTGCTGCAATTTATTTCAAGTGGAAAATTAGCAGTATCATGTAGGGAAGCATACACACAAACTCTTTCCTCGACACAAAAATGTAACAAAGTGAGAGTAATTTGCATGTACCAACACACACCAAGCTGACACTCATTTACAAACGCAATTCTCAGAAACAAAACACTGGGAACATCATTTATGAAATGCCTCTGCCTGACAACCACCATCAAGCTCCAGCACCTGCTCACAGCCACTCACAGATACAAATTAACCTCAATTAACTAGCATGGCCTCGCTCAGAGAAAAAGACGGCCCATTGATGACCCCTGCTGAGCGATGGGCCATCAGTGGAACAAGCTTCCAAATTATGGAGTGCTAAGATTAAGCATTACTGACAGACACTTATGAGAATCATTTGTTTTGACACACAGAAAGAAGGGTATGATGGTTTTTGAATTTTGTTTGGAATTAATAGAAAGACAAAGTTGTTATTCTTACTCTGTCTTCCAAATGAGTGTACAAGTCGAAAGGACAGGAGAGAAGAATTGAATTTAGTGTGTAATGTGAGAGGGCAGCAGCCGTCGTATAATAACTTTGGTGTATTGTGTTACTGTAATAATTTCGAGCAGCTCAATTTAAATGTGCAAGCATGAATAACTCATTTCCAAAGCTGTAGTCACCAGAATTAGAACTGAAAACACACGAGAGACAGAGAGAGACAAAGGCATACCCTTCTCCTCTGACAATAAATCTTTAGATGACTTTGTGGACGCTTGACAGCCCTGTTATTTTTCATGGACATGGGCACTATTTCAAACCATTATTGGTGGTAAATCTGAATGGATTTTTCTTAATTCCACAAGGTCAAGCTTTGTCTTTGTCTCATGAACAAGATTTTGTCCCTTGATGATGGGAATAATGTAAGTTGATGCATGAATAAAAAATGAAATATTATGTCTTTTGTGGGCACAGCCTTAATATTCAACCGGCAGTGTGTTTTCAACTTGTGTCCCAACCAAATTACAAGAAATGTAATATGTTCAGCTGCAGCTCCACTGTTGTTTACCTGCTACAAACAGAATGAAATAAAATATTCACCATGTGAGACAGCATATGCTGTGATTCGAAATGACTGTTTCTCTCTGCTGAACTCATAACGTTGATGAGAGGGAATCCATCACACTTTATTGTGGAAGAGGGGTTAAAGATGGAGCTGGCAGAGCTGTGAAGTCTGGGACAATCATTAACACTGAATGTTACATATTGTAAATGCATGATCCAGGACATGACGTTAAAAGGACCCTGTGGTTGTGGTAACCACAGTATGAAATAAAGAGCAGAGAACATATTAGCATGCAGAAATGAGTATGAAGCTGTTTTATTTTGTGCAGGACGATTGTACTATTTGTTCACTGACAATGACTCGCAATATAAACATCATCACGCCCTCCAATTCCCCCATGGTTGATTTTTCTGATTTGTACCTGTTCAATCATACATTGGCTCACCTGGAAATTTTACAAGGGGTACAGCAGGAAACAGTCGGGTTGAAGTCAGTTTGAAAAATAAATTGTGTTTTTGATTTACATATATTTGTCTCACTTCATTAATTTTAATTTTACCTTCATTTACAATGATGTCAAGAGTACAATTAAAATGAATAAGGGACAAAAAAACAACAAAGACAAAATACATAGATTATAAGACCAAAAGAATAAGCAGCAAGCAGGCAACTACAGTAACCGGTAATAACATTTACACTCATGAGTACAGTGAATTGTGATCAGGTTTTTAAATTGACCCATGGTAACCATTGTATTGAGTTTTAATGTGTTACTATGAGTTACTAAGGCATTACGTTTTGTTGGATCAGGTCACGGATTTAGGTCAAGTCAGGTCAGGATAATTGAGAAATGATACAAATAATATACTTGCTATTTTTTTTTTTAAATATAGAAGTGCCCAGTCCACCCCTGTTACCCTCTGGAACGTCCCTACATTACAACATCACAAAACTAAACAAAATCTGTGAATAATAAATAAGAATAATTTACCAAAAACAAATTTTTTTCTCGATTTAGCTATGACAGTGTACAAAAGCAGATAATTCATTTATAGGGCTGCTTAAAAATATCGATTCATCAATGCATTGCAATTATTATATCCCCAATTCAATATCCATTCAGGGAAATCCTGATTTTTTTTTTTCGTTGTAATGACGCCCCTTTCCACTGGGGGCTCTATGAATTCAGGTCAGGCACAAATTTGCACTTTAGATCATACTGTACTTTAATGTTTTATTATTTGTTTGTTAAAGAATAATGCAAGCATAAAATATATTTTTGAGTCAGTTTGTTCTAAATGTATATAAACAATGCACACAATTATTTAACAAATATCGGAAGGTACTGTGATGAGATATCTGGGTATTCCTGTCATTTGTATGTATTATTAAATCGATATCAAAGCATATTGATCCAATCGAATTGATATCGAATCATGACCCAAATAATTGAAATTGAATTGAATTGTGAGGTTGTGGACACTACCCAGCTCTATTCATCTAGCAGATGTGTTATCACTGTCCGCTGCAGTGGTTTGTGTTGTAAGTGAAACGGGGAGCATGATTTTAGCAAGCACTATATCTTCAGTGTTGGATACAACACAGTGCTGTATAACAAGGTCTGTGTTGATAAGTTCACAGACTACAGCAGGCTGTGGGATAACTTTACAAATGTTAAGTTACTGATTGTTGATCAATTCAAACACTGTGACAGTTAATGGAGAAATGTCAAACCGATTGTTTATCCAGATCATGTGCGTTCCCAACCATAAAGACTTGGTCCGTACGGATCACAGACTGTGTTCTGTAGAACTGAAAGTAAACAGGTGCACATGGTTGGCTTTTCTGTGTGCGTGCACATCAGTGTCTGTTGATTTGATTATTATTGTATAAATATTTACTCGCAATGTGGCGTAAAGCCAAATAGAACATTTTGTGTTTTTCTTTTTTTTTTAGAGGCAACACAGAATGACGGTTCTGAAAGTCAGACAGTCCTCAGAGAGTCATGTCCTGCTTCAGGTGTTTGTTTGTTTGTACCTACATCTTTTAGGAGACAAGCTGCAGGTCCTGATGGGAAAAGGTAATGTAACCTGAAGTTAACATAGACATTACTGGGCCAATATGTAAAATAAATGTCCTTTCTTTCATGATATCCAAAACGCTGTTTCCCTTCTCCATCTCTCTTCTTTTTTATACTGCACTGTCAGTACTCACATCTTTTTCTTAAAGGGATTTTTACTTGTAATAATCATGAATTTTAAATGGTAAAACTTGTGTTTCCACACCTACTGAGTCAGGGAGTTAGCTGTTTCTTATCATCATTGTAACCTGTAGTGCATCTTCGTTCTAGTCTTTGCGGCCACAGCTGTCTTCGTTTTTATTAATCTTTTTAATAAAGAAGAAGAAGCATGAGTAGTTGATACTAGGCATAGCATGCTGATGATTACAGGACAGTGCAGATGACCACGTTGCTCATAAATTAAAGAGATGATAATCCCAGGAGAGGTTACTCATTATTAGTTGCTACCTTTCTTTTTTGCCTCTGGCTTTTTTTAATAAAGCAAAATTAAGGTTATGTAGGGTTAATGCTTAACTTATCGTGTGAATGTGTGAACAGATTTGACATTAAATGTGTGACCTGACGGACTTCAGTGCATTAATTACATGGTTTTAAAAATGACGTGCGTTCTCAGAAAAAAAAGTGTCATCAACCCAAAAACACAGCTCGATCAGATCTTCTATTAAACATCTGAAAACAGAGTACGCTTTGTAAGAAATGACCTATATCCTTCAGGAATACAAAGTGTTTAGTGTTACTTGCTTAATTCAATCTCAAAGACTCCCCTTTGTATTTAGCGCAAACATTTCTCCCAGATGTGATAATGGGAAAAGAGACAGACACAGGTCTAAAATGATTTCATTCAGGAGCCCATTCCCCATCATATATTTCAGGAACAAAGCATATTCATTTGCTGTATAGTTAAGTGTGTGTAGCATAGTAATATCAACAAAGGGTAATATAAACATAATGTGTTTTTTTACCATTCATTTCACAGTCAGAATTACATTTCTGGTTGGTTCGTGTTTAATTTAAGGATCTATATTGTCAATTCAAGTTATATCTAAGGCATTACATTTTGATCAAC